CCCCCGTCTAGGGACCTGAGCATCACCATGAACACGGACGGTCCCTGTAGAGCATGGGGAAGCTGCTGACTCTGGGCCTCACTGTGTTCCTACCTTTCTGAAGCCCACTGCTCTCTGCCTGGGGCTCTCCTGAGTGGCAGGTCTGTCTGGTAGTCAGCTGTGTAGATCCTAACAGGGGTGTTCTTGCAGGTATAGTGCCAGTCCCACACACACTTTCTAGCCCAAAGAATGAAACTGTAGCTAAATACTTCCCCATGCTATCAGAGCCTCTAAGGATGTTGGGGCAGGACCAGGGTATTTCTGAGTGTCGGCAAGGACTAAGGGGCAGTCCACACCACAGCAGAGGCCAACTAGACCATTCTGCAACAGGAAGCCTTGGGACAGGGTCTGTCTCTTCTGGGGACACAGGAGGCCATCCTTCATCAAAGGGCATGGATGGAGCTAAAGAGATATCTCAGCAGTTGATAGCACATATCAGAGGAACCGGGTTTGCTTCCCAGAATCCATGCTGGGCACCTCACAGTGGCCTGTAACTCCCTCTCCTGGGGGATCTGACACCCTCTTCTAGCCTCACCTTCATACACATAATTACAAATAAATAAATATTTTCATATTTATTTATTTTTATAAAAATCAGAGCTACCAAACAAGGGCTCTTAGGGGCTGAGCCCACTACTCATGACCTCCATGAGACCACCATCCAGCTAACCCTTACCTCATCAATAACTTAACTTTCTCACCTGGGAGACCCAGTCAGTGCTAAAAGGCAGGCATCTAAGTGCTTACATACCCCAGTAACTCTGAGAGGTGGAGGCAGGAGGGCCAGGAGTCCAAAGTCATATCTCAAGTTCAAGGCCAGCCTAGGCTACATGAGACTCTGTCTCAAAAAAAAAAAAAAAAAAAAAAAAAAACACCTGTTCTTTGCACCACATACATCTAAGCCAGTATCCTATTAGGGGTCCCCACAACCAGCCACAGGGAAGCTACCGCAGGTGACAGAGACACAGGGAAGCTGCAGGCATGTGATGGCACCAGAACTAGATACTAGATGGAACTGTAACCAGAGACCTTTTCTTCCCTTTTGCCTTTAGAGCACAAAACTTCGTTTTTCTGTTATAACAGTTCCTTATACATTTTGGAAAATCAAGAAACAAGGCAGCACATCCACTCTCCTGCTCTCTGGCTCCTTCAGAGAGCCTCCCTTCCCCCTGCACCTTTCTTTTTTTCTTTCTTTCTTTCTTTCTTTTTTTTTTTTTTTTTTTTTTTTTTTTTTTTTAATTTCCTGGAATAAACCATCTCCATAGATTTGCTGCCAACTTTGGAGCAAAATTTTTCTCAATAGACTTTGTCCTTCTATTGCATGTGAGGACAGGAGCTCAGGGCCCTGGGGAGGAACCCTATCTTCCTCACTCATCATCAACGGCAGACATGACACAAATCCTGTGGAGAAACTACCTGGGTTGGGGATAGGGACAGTGTGAGGAGTATAATGGTACAGAGAGTCCTGGGCAATCTCACACACAACACCAGAACCCTTAACCACTTCCTGTGGAGCACTAAGTCCTGAGTGCCACAGACCTCAGTGTTCCTCCAATAATGGGTGGTTTTATGTGGCCACGGAAGTCTGGAGCATCCCAGCTCGACCCCTTCTCTTAGCTGAGGTGACGAACACCTGGGCTCAGCTTCACTTTTCCTATATATTCAGAAGCTGAGACAGAAAGTCTATCCCATCACTCTCTCCCTTTGTCATGGAGATACAAGGAACCAGAGGTGAGTCTTGATGGTCCTCCTACCTCCAGTTCCTCTTATTTTGCTCCAACAGCATTCCTACCAGGCTCTTCATAGCACAATGCCCTTGGCACATATGCCTTACCTATCCCCTTGGGCAATATGAGCCCATCCTTGCTGGGCTTTGTATAAGAGCCTCAATGACAAATGGACAAAGGATACGAAAAAGAGGTGGGACAGGGCTCTGGACAAAGGGACAAAAGCCAGCAGGGAAAACCAGCGCCTCAGTTCATTCTTTCTTTTCTGAGATAGGGTTTCTGTCTGTGTAGCTCTAGCTGTCCTGGAATTGTCTAGGTAGACCAGGTTGGCCTTGAACTGAAAAATGCACCTGCCTCTGCCCGTTGAGGGCTGAGACTAAAGGTGTGTACCACCACCACCCGGCCTCAGTTCCTAGATTTCTAAAGTGAGGGTGCTGTTGCCCTCACCCAAAGAACATGAGGCACACCATTCCTCCTTGATACATGTGCCTGGGGATCATGGTTTCTATCATGTTCTCCCCAGTAGTGGGTACAAGTCACCAGCCTATGCTCCACTACTGTGGTGACATGTAAGTCCCTAGATGGCCATTGGATTATGATCTCTAGAGTCCTCTGTGTGCCAGGTGACCTCTGGAGTGCACTATCTGCCCAAGGCTGGACCCAATCACAAAGTCATTCTACCAGACCATTTTGTAAAATTGTAACCCCCTGTTCAGCTCCTGTGACCTCTTCCAAGCCAGCCACACTCCAGTGCATACTCAGGGAGCATAGAGTATGACAGTAGACTGCTGGTTAAATGGTTTCTGAACACAAGCTATGACAAGTAAAGAAGCAGGGCTGTCCCTTCCTACCCACAAGCGACTGCTCTGAAAGCAGCAAAAAGAATACCATGACCACAGCCCACTATGCAGGCTCTTCCTATGCCCCACCTACCCACTCAGCTTGTGTGAACGCTCTAGATTGAGACTTGGTTTCTACACAGTAAAATGAGAATTATCCTGGCACCACTGCCTGGGACTTAAGCAATGCTAGGGTGACACCACTCAAGAAAGACGTGCAATGGGCCTGAGACATAGCTGTGCAGTTGAGAACATACACTGTTCTTGCAGAGGACTGGAGTTGTTCCCAGCACCCACATCAAACAACTCATAAACACCTATAACTCCAGCTCCAAAGAATCCAGCACCCTTTTCTGTCCTCCTCAGATACAGATAACCATGCATGCACACAAACACACACACACAAAAAAAAAAAAAAGAAAGAAAGAAAGAAAGAAAAGAAAACAAAAAAAAGAAAAAGTCAGACATAGCGATGTATAACTTTAGTACTTTAATCCTAGCACTTGGGAGGCAGAGGCAGGTTCTGTGAGTTCCTGAGGCCAGCCTGGTCTACAGAGCAAGTATCAGGACAAGCTCCAAAACAATATAGAGAAATCTTGTCTCAAAAAACAAAACAAAACAAAAAAAAAAAAAAAAAAAAAAAAAACAAACAAAAAAGCCAGATACATACAAAGGCTGGAGAGATGATGGTTTGGCTCCCAGCACCAGCATAGCAGCTTACAAATATCTATAACTCCAGTTCCAGAGGATCAGGTATCCTCTTCTGACCTCCATGGGCATAGGCACACACATGATGCACATGCTTACATTCAAACAAAACACTCATATGTATGAAATAAATAAATCTAAAAATTAAAAACTTTCAAAAATAAATCTTAAAAAATAAACAAATAATAAAAATAAAGAAATATAGCTGATACAAAGCACTTGCCTCAAACAAACAAGCCCCTTGAGTTCCACACCCAGTACTACAAAAGAAAAAGAAAGAAAAACCCAGAGATGGGCATGGTAGCCCATACCTGTAAATTCCAGAATGAGGAAGCTGAGGCAGGAGGACAAGAATCTGTTTGAAGCCAACCTGAGCTAAACAGTAATTTCCAGACCAGTCTGGCTACAGTGTAAGACTGTATAAATAAATTATTAAGTAAAAGAATAAAATAAAACTCTAACATCTTGGTCCTGTTGGCACTATAAATACAAGTTATAACCATTCAGGTTCACAATACTTTGAGTTAGTGGTAAGTCCCTAACACAGAGGGACTTTTGTTGACTGAGTCTGACAGAGACCAGGCTCAAGCCCAGAAATCTTTTTGTTTGTTTGTTTGTTTGTTTGGTTGGTTGGTTTGCTTTGGGTTTAGGTTATTGTTTTCCAGACAGGGTTTCTCTGTGTAGACCAGGCTGACCTCAAACTCAAGAGAGAGAATTGCCTTTCTCTGCTGGACTGGAAGATGTGTGCCACAACCTCCCCCTCCCTCCCGGATGTGGGGCTATTGTTATTCAAAACACCCACAGCCCCTGAGACTCCAGTTATCTGTTGCCAACAAGAGGCAGTTTCCAGCTTCCAGGTGTCAAGACTACCCATCCCCTCAAAGACCTGCTCTTCTCAGAAATCTTAATGCTGGTAACTGTTATTGTGTAGCCCACCAGCAGGAACCACAGGAACTCTTGGGAAACCTGACCAAAGCAACAGCCCACAGGCAAGTGTCAAGAACCAATTGTAACAAGTTGCTGGTAAACTTTTAACTATTCTGGTGGACTCACCTGTTTTAATTTCCCCGCCAAAAAGTTTAATTACTCCTACACGATTGGTTCTTTTTGTTTTGTTTTGTTTTATTGTTTTTCGAGACAGGGTTTCTCTTGTTCTGTAGACCAGGCTGGCCTCGAACTCACAGAGATCTACCTGACTCTGAATCTGGAGGGCTGGGTTGAAAGGTATGCACCACCACCCCGCCTATTTTTCAACCTATTTGCATGCCACACATTCAACCAATGGAACTCTGATGGTGACCTGTAAGTTTGGGCTATCTGAAGGATGCATTAGCAATTCACAGAGGAGAAAGAATTATTTTTAAACCTCAGGCAGGGAGTTTGCTCTAGTCAGCCTCCAGACTTAGCCTGAGGCTACTACAGACAGAGATTCTGCTATCTTGAAGGCCTCTGTCACTCTTCTATTGCTGTGAAGAGACATTGTTACCAAGCCAACCAAGAAAGCATTAAAGCTGGGCATGCTGGTGCACACACCTTTACCCCAGCACTAGAGAGGCAGAGGCAGGCAGATCTGAGTTTGAGGCCAGCCTGCTCCACATAGCAAGTTCCAGGACAGCCAGGGCTACACAGAGTAACTCTGCCTCAAACTACCCATGCCCCAAAAGCATTTAATTGGAGATTTGCTTACAGTTTCAGAGGTTTCATCCTTTATCATCATGGCAGGGAGAATGGTGGCACACAGGTAGACATAGTGCTGAAAAAAGAGCTGAGAGTTCTACATCCTGATCCATAGGCAGCAGGAAAAGAGAAAGCACGATGGGCCTGGCATAGGCTTTAAAAAAAAAAAAAAAATTGATTATGCATACAGTGTTCTGCCAGAAGAGGAAACCAGATCTCCTTATAGATGGATGTTAACCACCATGTGGTTGCTAGGAATTGAACTTAGGACCTCTGGAAGAGCAGCCAGTGCTCTTAACTTCTGAGCCATCTCTCCAGCTCAGTATAGGCTTTTAAACATCAAAATTTCAAACCTCAACCCCCTCAGTGACACACTTCTTCCAACAAGGCCACACCTCCTAATCATTCTCAAATACAGCCATTCCCTGATGATTAAGCATTCAAATATATTAGCCTACTGAGGACATTCTGTTTGGTTTTTTGGTTGGTTGTTTCTCTGTAGCTTTGAATCCTGTCCTGGAACTCTATAGACAGGCTGGACTCAAACTCACAGAGATCCACCTGCCTCTGCCTCCTCAAGTACTGGGATCTAAGGTATGCCCCCACAGTCAACCGGCTGGGGCCATTCTTATTCAAGCCACACAGCCCCTGAGACTCCAGTTATCTGTTGCCAACAAGAGGCAGTTTCCAGCTTCCATGTGTCAAGACTACCTATCACCTCAAAGACCTGCTCTTCTGAGTGTCTTCCAAAACTGTAGCACCTCTCAGAGCTATTTCTTGGTTGGCATCCTGAGGCCTTTGAGAGCTTTGAGCTGTATACTCTTGTATCTGTATCCACTCTTGACTGTCATTCCACTGAGAATAAAACCTGTTTCATTTCAATCCTTGTTTCAATATCATCTCCCACCCTATTGTTTGAGGAGGATGGGACTAGGTCCTTGCTGGAAACAGGAGACACCTCTACAAACCACCTCACTGAGTTGCGGTCAGAGACACCTTCTAAATCTTTTACCTGTGCCAGCCATGTTGCATCCTTTCCAGAAATGGCCCTCACTTGCTGTCCTTGGAATCACATCCAGTGTTTATTGAATGCCTTCTACCTTTGAGGCCCAGTGCCAGCCCCTCCCATCATCCACAGTTCTCCTTGTGGCCCCTATCGCCATTCAATTGCCACAACACTCTGCCCACAATATAGGCAAAAGCTCAGGGATCAGCCCAGGCCAGAATCAGCCTCAGAAGAAGTAAGAAGATCCAGGAATAGCAATGGTGAATGAAGCTCTAGGTGACTGGGAACAGGGGCCAAGAACAAGCAAAAGGGTCAGAGATATCACAAGGCAGCCTGGACTTCATGGAGCCAAGCAATGGTTCTTGGGAGTCCAAGGGCCCTGCAATCTTCACATTTTTAAAGCTGTGTGGGCTAGTAAGGTAGCTTGATGGTAGGGCACTACTAGCCTAGCAAGCCCAGTGCCCTGATTTCTATCCCCAAAAACAAAATATTTAAATAGGGCCAGCAAGACAGCTCAATAGATAAAGACACCTGGCGTTGAGTCTAGTGACCCAAGTTCACTCCCCAGAACCCACATAGTAGAAGAGAACTGACCCCAAGCTGTACGTACACAGAGAGAGAGAGAGAGAGAGAGAGGGGGGGGGGAGAGGGAGAGAGAGGGAGAGGGAGAGAGAGAGGGAGAGAGAGGGAGAGGAAGAGAGAGAGGGGGAGAGAGAGAGAGAGAGAGGGAGAAATCAAACTTTTATTTTGTTTGTTTTTGAGAGTCTTAACTATGCAAACTTGGCTAACCTGAAACTTGCTATGTAGACCAGTCTGGCCTAAAGCTCACTGAGATCCACCTGCCTCTACCTTCTGAGTGATGGGATTAAACATCCTCACTACCATGCCCCACCATTACTTTTTTTTTGTGGATTCCTAGCTCTACCATAAATGGGCTCTAATAAACACAGCCAGGTAGGAGCTGGGAAGTATGTCCCCCAGGCCGGCAGGAGAGGTGCAAGACAGACATTGGACAGCTATAAGAAAAGCCAAGCTCGGAAAGGAGAGTAGCCTGGAGGCTCTGTGGCTCCCTGCTTTGGGAAAGTTTCATGTAGGTCCTTGGGAACACACAGAGAGAAGGGACAGGTCTGGAAGAACAAGAGGACTCAGATAGGGAGCAGGACAAATGGTCCCTACAAATGGGATGCAATCCCAATCCTGGCTGTGAGCCTCCATTCCAGGCATCCCATACTGCCCCATGGGAATAACACTTGTGCCTATGCCCATGCATAATGACTGCTGTCACAGTGTACACATATAGGAAGCATCTGGCCCTTAGGCACCAGTAGTCATCACAGGGATCTTACTTTACCAGACAGCCAGATGTCAACATACCCATCACCCCTACCTGAGTGATGACACAGAAAGGCAGGCCCCTGATCACAAGAACATGCACAATCCCTGTGCTGGAAGAGACTGCTGAGCTTCTAAGACTACTCTAAGAGGGCACAGTCATGCCCAGCAGAAATCATTCTAAGCTGCTCAAGTGATAACATATACACTGTCCCCATCTTAAAGATAGGGAAACTGAGGTCAGAGAAAGAATCAGAAATCAAGAAGTGGCAGAGACAGGATCTGAACCTAGCCACTGGATCAAGAGTCTGCTTTAAGTGATTCTGCCTGGGTTGCAGGCAATCAGCACAGGGCTGGGTGATAGAAGGTGGCCAGTGGGACCCACTGCCCGGCTAGATGTTAATCTAAGAAGGTTCATCTCCTCTCTATTCCCCTCAAGAAACATAGCATGTTTCTTGACCTAAATATCTGAAGAAACTTCTAGAAGGATGCCTGGGTCTCCATGGGAAAGTTAGACCTGGCTTGAGGAAGAGGGAAAGTATAGTACAGTATGGGGAACAAAGATCATTTGTACTCCAGGAGCATCGAGGTATTTATTCCTCAAGTCTCTTGCTGGGAGAGAAGCATACTGGTGGGTACCCAGAGGGACCAGCAGAGTATCTACAGACCATGCTCCTGCCAGCCATTCCTCACCACTTGCCTCCTCCCAGAATCCCAGAAGAAATTCCTGTGCAGTTCCCCAAGTGCCCTCGGCTCTCCCTTCCACATTGATCCTCCCATGATCCTCAGCACAGCCTGCCCTCCCCATGAAACTGGCCTCTCAGCCAGCTGGCATGAGATGGCCTCATTTTACAGGTAATAATACTAACGCAGCAGCCAGCAATTTCCCAACACGGTTCAGGTGCCAGGCATTCTACATACCTCATCACTTTCAATCCTCTCCAAAATCCTGGGGGCCGGGAAGGGGGGGCAAGGAGGGTCAGGGTATTCTCTCCACTCGACAAAGGTAGAAAGTGAGGTTCAGAATTCCGACTTCATGAGGTGAGACGGCTACTACAGCAGAAGGGATAACTGATGGGCAATGAGTAGCCCTGATCACAGGACACACAGAGATTCTCTAAAGAGGCAGTTGAGGCAGTTTGCTCAATCCCTTCCCAGCTCCCTGCTGTCCTCAGGAGCCAGTAACAGCTCCCTGGTGTAACCTCTTCTCTATCTGGTCCTACTGTCCCAAAATGTTGGCTTCCCTCTCCAGCCCCTCCCACTCTCCAGCCCATTCCTCATGGTGGTCCAATCTCCCAATATCCTGCACCCCATCTCTGATTACACCAGGGATTCACACCTCTAGGCTTTGCTCTTGCTATTTCTTCGGTCCTGGGAATCTTCCGTATTCCTGTCATCTATTCCAGTAGGTTCTTTCTTCCTCAGGCAGCAAGACCCTCTTTGTAACTTTCCCAGGACTCCTGCCTATCTCCTTAGCATTGGGCAGCACTAGCCCTGGAATTGCCAGCTTCTGGAGGGAGAGAGCCTTTTCTTGCTCTCTGTGCCATCCTCAGGCTTGGCTCAGTGCCTGGACCTGTAATAACTGGGTCCCTCCAGGTGACATGCCAGTACCTACCAAGGCGTATATCTAGACCCATGTCCCAGGGATGACAGAGGGCCATAGAAGAATCCCAACTGGGAAATGTCCTGCCTTCATTTCTCTTCTGGGGTGTTCTGTAGGGTAGGGAGCATCATCAGATCTTAAGCCATCAGAGCAACTGGGGAGCAGCCCTCTGCTTGCTGAGCCCCAGCTCTGGCACCCCAACACAGACACACACACACACACACACACACACACACACACACACACACACACACTCAGCACAACCAAGCAAGTTCTCCCCACCCTCGGTTCCAGAACTATTTGTAGATATTTATAGCGCCCTCCCCCAGCCAGAAGCCCTCCTCCGCCCTGGGCAGTGCAGTGCAAAGAGAGGGAGCCCCCTCCATGGAGGGGGGTTCTCTCACCGTTCGCTTTTGCCCGCTTCCCACTGAGGTAGCTGTAGTTACAGCTCCAGCCACAGCCCCCGCACCCGCCCAGCACCCCGACAGCGCCTGGGCCTCGGCCAGCCACCGCAGCATGCCAGGGTCGGGGGTGGGGAAGGCAAGAGCTGAGACCTCGCGCCCCCAGCCCCAAGCCTCGCCGGAGGTGGGAGAGCGCGGCGCACAAAGCATGGCTGGAGCCAGGCGCCATGGGACGCCCCCACCCCACCCCCCAGTCCATTCAGGGGAGGAGGGGTCGCCGAGCCAGGCTCTGCCCTGAGGCCAGGAAAAGCTGCAGAGAGCAAGAGGGTGGGGGCCGGGGCCGCTGGCTAAGCAGACCCCCCACATATCGCCCCTCCTCTGCTCCAGGCCCCCGGCCCCGGGGCTGCGAAACCCTCGCAGGGGTCGGTGATGGGGACCCGGAGGCGAGGCCTGGGGCGCGGGAGATGTAGGGCTGTGGTGCGGGTCCCTGGATCCAGGGGTCAACTTACCCATCTCCCGCTGGGTCTTAGCAGCGGCGGCGGCAGCAGCGGCGGCGGCTCCGCGGCCCCCGGCGGGGAGATGCTGGCGTCCGCCGCAGCCTCTCCTCGCCCCATCCCGGGCTCCGGCGGCGGCGGCGGCTGCCGGGCATCGCAGGCTGCACGGCTCCGGCCCGGCCCGGCCCGATCCCCGCCCCCCACCCCACCTCCACCCCGTCCCGCGGGTCCCGCGCGGCCGCTTGACTGCACCCCGGGGCGGCGGCGGGGGCGCGGCGGCAAGGCCGAGCGCTGCGCTGGAGGTGCCCGCTCCCGCCGGCCCCCGCCCCGCCCCCGCGCGGCCCCGTCCCCTCCCCCTCCAGCGGGTTCCGCGCGCTCCGGGCCGGGGGCGCCTGGACCGCGGGCTCCCGCCGCCTCCCCGCGCCTTGTGTGTGTGCAGCGATCGGATGCACGAATGTGCGCGTGCCCTGCCTGTGACCGTGCGTGCGCCGGCCCACAGCCCTGGCGTCCTGTGCTGGAGTGTGTGCTGTGTGAGGTGGGGGCTGCCCAAAGCCCGTGTCCGGCTCTGCGTGTGTGTGTGTGTGTGTGTGTGTGTGTGTGTGTGTGTGTGTGTGTGTGTTCTGCAGCATGTGGCAGGTCAGCCCGTGTGTACAGGACCTGTAGAGAGATCAGTGCTGTGGTGTGATTGTGAGCAGCACACTGTGCTTGGGGGCACAGGACTCCCTTGTGGTGATGTGCAAATACATGTACCTAAGAGTGCAAACTGCCATGGCCCTAGCAGAGACCTGGTAGTGGGAAGGGTACAAGACACAGGGTGGCCGCAGCATCCATGCTGGTTTGTGTCTTGCTCTGGCTTCTGTCCAGGTCTCCATCCTTCTGTCCCTGCTTCATCAACAATGTTCACAAAGCCACCTATGATAGCCTCTTCAGGTGAGGCCCAGAGGGTCATGGTGAGGGTAATGGCAGTGTGCTCCATCTGGGATTCACCCCCAGGCCTGAAGGTTTCCCTACTCTTCTTCCTTCCCTTTCCTAGGATGCTCATGATTGGCAGTCTCTAGCACTCTTGTCACTGTGGTAGACTATTACCTATTTGCTTATTTAGGTTTTTCAAGACTCTATGTAGTCCTGACTGTCCTGTAGATCAGGGTAGCCTTGAACTCAGATACCCCACCTGCTTCTGCTGCCCACCCTCCAAGTGCTAGGACAAAATCATGAACTACCACATCTAGCTTGTGGTAGACTTTCTTCCAAAGACAAGCCCTGCTCCCCAAGACTATGTACTCTATATAAGTCAACAATGTGCCTTTTTATCATTTATTTTGATAGGTCTCACTGTGTAGCCAGTGTTGGCTTCTAATTTGTGATCATCCTGCCTCAGTCTCCCGTTCTTTTCTTTCTTTATGCCTTTGCATTTTTAACAATTAAGTTATGTGTAAGTGTTTTGCCTGCATATAGCACCTACTGGATCCCCTAGAACTGCAGTTACAGACAGTTGTGGGCTGCCATGTGGGTTCTGGAAAAGCAACCAGCACTCTTAACTGCTAAGCCATTTCAGTTTAAACTCTAATTTGTTGTCTTATTCATAACCTTTTAAAAGCTTTATTTATTTTGTATGAGTGTTTTGTCTGCATATGTGATTGGTGCCCATGGAGTTCAGGAACGGTGTAACATACCCTGAAACTGAAGTTATGCATGGTTGTAAGCTGTCATTTGGGTGCAGGGAACTGAACCCAGGTGGGTACTCCCCAAGAGCAACAAGTGCTCTTAACTGCTAAGTCATCTCTTCACCCTCAATTTTATTATTATTATTATTATTATTATTATGTAAAGTGATTTTTTGTTTTGTTTTGTCTTTTCAGATAGGGTTTCTCTGTGGCTTTGGAGTCTGTCCTGGAAGTAGCTCTTGTAGACCAGGCTGGTCTCAAACCCAGAGAGATCTGCCTGCCTCTGCCTCCCCAGTGCTGGGATTAAAGGTGTGTACCACCACCACCCAGCTGTAAAGTAATTTTTTTCTTTTGCTTTGTTTTTGTTTTCAAGACAGGGTTTTTTGGGCTGGAGAGATGGCTCAGAGGTTAAAAGCACTGGCTGTTCTTCCAGAGAACCTGAGTTCAATTCCCAGCAACCAAATGGCAGCTCACAACCACCTATAATAATGAGATTTGGTGCCGTCTTCTGGCAAGCAGACATACATGCAGGCAGAACACTGTATATATAATAAATAAATCTTTAAAAAGAAAAAAAAAAAAGGTTTCTCTGTAGTCCTGGCTGTCCTGGAACTCACTCTATAGACCAGGTTGGCCTTGAACTAACAGAGATCCACTAACCTCTATCTGGAATTAAAGGTGTACACCTCTACCTCCCAACTGTGATTTTATTTTTCAAGAACTCAAGACAAATTCATGCTAATAGGATAAACCCATTTCCAATTAGGAAGGAGGACTTTGTCTTATAGTAATAAAGCAATCTTTAAATTTATTTATCAATCAATAAGAGAAACATATACAGAAGGACATCCACTATCAAACTTTTGTTATGGCAGAGGCAGACAGATCTCTGTGGGTTCAAGGTCAGCTTGGTCTACCAGAGTTCCAGGACAGCTAGAGCTACACAGAGAAACCTTGTCTCAAAAAACAAACAACAACAAAAAAAAAAACAAATAAACCTTTTGTTATTACAGGTATGTGTGCATAAGCTGTGTGCACTGGCTCAAGAGACCATGTATATGCCTTGCCTTCTTGTACAGATCAGAGGTCACCTCTTGGAAGTTGGTTCTTTCCTTCCACCTGTGGGATCTGGGTATCAAACTCGGGTTGTCAGGTTTTCATGGCAAATGCTCATTGGCTGAGTTACTCTCAAATGTCCCCAAGTTTTTGTCATTATTGGTTTTCTGAGATAAGATCTCTTGTATCCCTGGCTGGTCTGGAAGTCAGTGTGTATACCCAACGATGAAATGCAACCCCTGCTCCCCTGCCTGAACCTGATTGCTTGTGGTGATTAACAGATATTCTGCCACAATGTGTGGTTTTCTGTGATGCTAGAGATCTAGCCCAGAGCTTCACACATGGCAGACAAGTCTTCTTCCCCAAGTTACATCCCTAGTCCCATGTCCCTTAATTTCTGGATGACTTTAATTGAATATATTGCAGCACTCAGTGTAAACTAGATAACTATCAAAAGGTTGTTTCCAGATGGTAATTTTCATTGAAAAGGCACCCACCTCTAGGTTTGCTTTAAGTATCAACTTTATAATACAATATTTTCTTTTAGGGGTGGAGTCTTCTCCAAGGTCAGAAAAGGGCACTGGAGTTAGGGATGGTTGTGAGCCTGTGGGTGCTGGGAACCGAACCCAGGTCTTCTGAGTGACAAAAGCCCTTAATTGCCAAGCCATCTCTTCAACACCACTTCTTTTCTTTTTATGTTTATGTGTGAATGTATGCATGCAAGTGTCCTCAGGACCAGAAAGAAGGGCGTCAGAGCCCCAGAACTAGAGTTAATGGCAGTTATGAGCTGCCCAGATATGGGTACAGGGAATTGAATTCAAATCTATATATGAGGCATTTTGCTATGACTTTAAAACCAATACACCTCCCCTATATCATAACACCTCCTTAGATTATCTATTTTTATTTAATTTATTTATTTATTTATTTATTTTTGAGGCAGGGCTTCTCTGTGTAGCCCTGGCTGTCCTGGAACTCACTCTGTAGACCAGGCTGGACTCGAACTCAGAGATCTGCCTGCCTCTGTCTCCCAAGTGCTGGGATTAAAGGCATGTGCCACCACTGCCTGGTTAGATTGTTTATTTGTCTGTCTGTCTGTCTATCTATTTATTGTGATGCTATGGATGGAACCCAGGGACTCCCATATGTCAGTCAGGCAGGTACTCTATCACTAAGCTATATTCCACACACAACTCTCATGGCCTTTGATTTCAATACAATAAAAACACTCACGTTTGCCTGTCATGAGCCTTCCACTTCAGCTCTAAGAATGCAGTGAGAAGAATGCTCTCCTAGCACCATCCAGGCAGCGTATATGGATGACAAGAGAGGGATGGCTCTGCCTTGCCCTGCCCAGAGCTGGCACTTCTGGAAGCTTCTGGGGACCTGATGTTTGCTCTTTGCCCCCACCCCCCACCCTCCCACCACCCTTGTTTTCCTGCTTCTTCCAGATTCCCAAGCTCCTTGGGAGGCCTCTGAGAGGGCGGGGAGCTGCCTTGGCTAGGGTCATACCAAAGTCCATCTCCGTTTCTCAGCCTTTCTCTCGAAGTCTGTTGGAACAGTGTGGTGAGTACAGATTTCCCCAGCCCTTCAGAGACAGCAAGTGACTTCCTTGACCACAATCAACCAGGGCCTGGTACAGCCCGGGACAGCACACGCTCCTCCCCCTCTCAGCCTAGGCCGGGTGGGAGGAGCCCACCTCCCTTGGAGCTGGCGGGATGAGACGAGGCCTCTAGTTCCCCTTCCCCAGTCACCTTTCCCTCTCTTCCCTCCAGCGAAGCAGTCCCACTCAGCAGCTTGAGGCAGGGAATGTGGACTGGTTAAAGCTCGGGTTCTAGTCCTGCCCCACCCTACACCCTTGGCCTACACATGAATTTCTTCATCTGTAGAGTAGGATATTTGCATCCATCACCCCACTGACATCAGCATCTGGCGGCCCCTCTAGTCACTTCCTGTGTGTGGGCAGGGAGGGGCTTGGTAGGTGGTCCTCCTCCCTGCCCCCTTCTCTGGGGACTGGCTTCTCTGGGGACTTAGAAGCTGTAGGAACTGCAGTTAGGAGACGCCCAGTTACAAGATTATCCTGCCCCCAGGATGTTGCTCGGTGTCCCCTTACAGCTTGGGCCGCCTCTTTCTGGAGCTGATTTGGCTCTGGGAACAATTGCTGGATCTGTTAGCCCAGAATTGGCTAGTCCTGCTAGGCAGTTGCATTCACCTCCCTGGGTCATCTCACCTGGCCTCCAGGTGTACAGGTAAGGGTTTCCTACTCACTCTCTTGTAGGCCAGATATACCATCTCTCTGAAGGCCCTGAGGGTTTTCTGGCTGCCAGAGAGCTAGCCCTTGCTTCATTTAGAGAGTTTCCACCTGGGTGACCTTGAACAAGTCTCATCTCTGCAAGCCCCAGTTTCCACTCTGGTCAA